GAGAGAGAGAGGTGGGAAATCAGTCAGTCTTTGGGGAGTTCGCGGAGCAATTAGAGCAGAAACCTGAGGGGTTCTTTGAAACAGGCTTGTTGTGGAAAGGAGATTGTCCACATTTACCAGACAATAAAGCAGGGAGTCTAGCTCGTCTAGAAAAGCTTATCAACAGATTAGAAAGGGATCCAGATCTCTACATGAAGTATGACCAGATTATTCAAGACCAGAAAGAGAAAGGCATTGTAGAAGTGGTGGACCAGGAGCCAACAGGAAGAGCATTTTATCTCCCACACAAACCAGTCATAAGAGAATCAGCAGAAACCACCAAGATCAGGATAGTTTTTGACGCATCGGCCAAGACAAGTAGCAGTGCGGCATCCTTGAATGATTGCCTGGAAACAGGACCCCCAACGCAAAATCTCATTTGGGACATTTTAGTCAGAAATCGGAACAGACCAATAACATTAGCCGGAGACATGAAACAAGCGTTCCTACAGATAAGAGTGAGAGAGGCCGAGCGGGATGTCCTACGATTTCATTGGGTGACAGACATGGACCGGAACAGAAAGGAGACTCTTCGTTTCACACAAGTCTTATTTGGATTGTCCCAATCGCCGTTTCTTTTAGGAGGGACCATTGAGCAGCTCCTCCGCAGTAAGGAGAGTGAATACCCAGAGGAACTAGAGGAATTAAAGGGAAGAACAGTGAAGATTTTCAATGCAGCAGGGTTCGAGTTGCACAAATGGCACTCAAACGATCGATCTCTAGAGAGTTTCCAAGAGGAAATAGATCAATGCAAAGCCTCAAGCCAAACGTATGCCAAGCAACAAGTTGGTACAACTAGTGATGAGACAAAGCTGTTGGGGTTAGCATGGGACAAAAGGGAAGACACCCTAGCAATCAGCTTTCCAGAGATGCCAGAGAGTTACAAAAAGGACAGTTTTTAGCGGACTTGCTTCAGTATATGATCCCTTGGGGATAGTTTCACCAGTACTCCTCACAGGGAAGATAATATACCGAGACATATGTGAAGAAGGATTATCATGGGATGAAGAGATAACAGACCAGTTACAAAAAAGATGGCAAAGATTCATCAAGTCATTACCTGAGAGAATAGAAATACCACGAAACGTGACCCCAGCGAAAGAGTCGGTCAAAGGCATAGATTTACATGCATTCGGTGATGCAAGTGGCAATGGGGTATCAGCAGCTGTTTACGCTGTGGTAGAGCAAGATTCGGGCATTAACCAGGGCTGTTAGTATCAAAGTCAAGACTTGCAAAAAAGGGACATTTCATTCCTAGGCTAGAACTAATCTCAGGTCAGATGGCCGCAAATCTCATCGATAATGTGAAACAAGCACTTAAAGGACAGCCAGTAAGATCTTGCACTGGCTGGCTAGACAGCACTGTTGTCCTTCATTGGGTGAGAGGACAAAGGAACTATAAACAGTTTGTGCACAACCGAATGAAGCAAATTCAGTTGAAGGATTATATCTCATGGCGACATGTACCAACAAACGACAATCCTGCAGATATTGGGAGCAGAGGTTGCCTTGCCAGTTGCATTGATCCAAAGTGGTTCCAAGGACTATCATGGCTTGCAACCAAACAAGACTGGCCAACAGATATTGTCACATCTCCAAGTGAAACACAGAGAGGGAGTCCAAACTAATCAAGGAGATTCTGAGAGTTGCATATCCTGTCAAAAATGGGCTGGATGAAGTATTAGAGAGATTCGAGTACTGGAAGGCGATGAGGGTCACAGCATGGATCGTCAGATTTATCAGAAATTCACAAGCAAAGAAAGCAAGCAGAATCAAAGGCCCATTATCTACCCCTGAAATCCAAGAGCAGATAACCCAGTGGGTAAAGCGAGTACAGAGTAAAGCAAAGAGCGATGACAGTTTCAAAGAAGATGAACAGAAGCTAAACATCCAGAAGAATGATGAGGGGATATTAGAGTGCAGAGGACGGATTCAGGGACAGTGCCCTATTTACCTACCTTCAGACACACTGTTCACAGAAAAGCTGGTGATGGATTCTCACATAAGCACAGGCCACGGGGGAGTCAGCATGACAATGTCAAGTGTACGAGAGAGGTTTTGGGTACCAAGGTTGAGAAAGCTTGTAAAGAAATTGAGATTTAAGTGTGCAGGATGCAAGAGATTTCATGCAAGAGCATTCAACAGTCCACCACCTGGGATTCTACCAGAGGACAGAACTGGGGGGAGTAGGCCATTTGAGGTGATCGGCGTTGACTACTCAGGGCCAATCCGATACAGGTGTGGGAAAGCGATAGAGAAGAAAGCATATGTTCTTTTGTTTGCCTGCAGCCTCACTCGAGCTGTATACATTGAGGTTGTCACCGACATGACAGTAGAGCAGTTCATTCCATGCCTGAAAGGGTTGATTGCAAGACGCTGTAGACCTTCCAACATATATTCAGACAATGCTAAGACGTTTATTTCAGGCGCTGAGAAGCCAAAAGCCATGCTGAAGAGTGAGAGATTCAACGATTATCTGGCGAGGAACGACATCAAATGGACATTCAACTTAAGCAAGGCTCCGTGGTGGGGCGGCCAGTTTGAAAGAATAATCGGACTTGTAAAGCAGTCTCTTTACAAGGTCATCAGAAAAGCAAACCTAAAGTTTCCAGAGCTCAAAGAAGTTATGCTCGACGTAGAGACAATCCTGAACAATTGACCATTATGTTACGTGGAAGACGATATCCAAATGCCAGAGCTTACACCCAATGTCATGATGCTAGGAAGTAATAACGTTCTACTACAAGAGGATATTGAGGCGATCAAGGATGGAGATTTAAGAAAACGAGCTATCTTGAGCGATGCAAAGAAAACATATGGAAGCGGTGGTCCAATGAGTATGTCAAAGCTCTAAGAGGGAAGCATAATCTAGTGCATCATGGGAAAGAAAACCAGATATCAGTGGGAGATGTTGTTCTCATCAAGGGTGAAGCGAAGAATAGAGACGGATGGGCAATTGGAGTAGTTGAGAGTCTTATAAAGGGAAAAGATAACATTGTCAGAGCAGCTAGGCTAAGATCAAAGAAAACAAGAATAAAGAGGGCAGTGCAAATGTTATACCCTCTGGAGCTAGCATGTGACGAGGAACACAAGAAGACCGAGGCAAGAGTGAACGATAAAGAGAACGCACAACTTAATGCAAAAGCGAAGGAGTTCAGACCAAAGAGGAAAGCAGCTACAATTGCGGTAGAGACAATTAGAGAGACATTTCATGATGAAGAGAGAGAACTTGCTGATGATTAAACATTTGACGCCTTTTCGGACGTCAAATGAGGGGAGTGTGTCAGAAACATGACTTTGTTTTGAACGTTAGACTTTTATCCGGGACTATAGACCACACGATAGACCGTTAGACTTTATCCGGGACGTTAGACCTTTTATCCGGGACCTTAGATTTCTGTTTTGTTGTCATTACTATGCAAATTAGTTAAAACTGCGTGAGGAAGGAGGAGTGAAAGTTTTGTAGATGGCGAGAAGAGAAAAAGAAAAAGCGTGAAGTTTCGAGAGTTTTACGATGTTTTGATACAGATTTTGTTGGTTTTAAATGCGAGTTATTTTTGTTTTCGTGCTTCTAGGATAGTTCGCGAAATATTTGAAAATGACAAAATTATCTGTCTTTCTTCTGAAAATTTGCCAGTTTCCTAGAGGTTGACGACAAAACTTCAATTTTCGAAGATTTTCGAGAACTTTTAGGTAGAATTAAATTTATAACAAAATATTAATGTAACAAAAGAATTTCTGTCGGTAAAATATGGTTTTGCAACTAAAGCGAGAATGGTCACGCAACGCTACTGCCGATATCCACTAAGAAATCGGAAAGGAACAGAATTGTATGGACATCCTGTTCCGAACTCTACTATAACCTAATTATACTTAAAATACAACTACGCTTAATGTTCATTAAAAAGGGGAGTGATGTTATACTCAAGACTGCTTACCACGCCCCCATATACTTTTAACGTATGACTTATAACCACATGTTATGCTATGTTTTTGTGTTTTATGAATTTGTAATATGTTCAGCGGTCTAAGGACTTATTTTCAGATTCAAACGAAAGAACATCGACAAATTTCTCAGAACAACAAGATGTATATCGACGAAATGCTTTTACAAATAAATCGTAATTTTAGACTAACCGGAGAACCTTTCGCAAGCACTCTCATAAAACGAACTGAACTAATTGTGTAAAAATCTAAATACATAGTGTTGCGATATAATAGTATAGCTCAAGGGACAAATAAATGATACGTGAAGGTCTATTTAAAATCTGCAAGGTTAATAGGATTAAAAGATATAATGCGGAGAAAATACAAATGTGTTACTGAGTTAATTAAAAAACGTGAACGTAGAAAACAAGCAAAATGAGATTCGAAATAAACTTCCATTAAATTAAAATGCTGAGCAACACAAACAAGGCGTGACGGTGCGGTCGCTGCGAAGCATGATATGTGTTGCAAGGCAAAGCTCAAAGCATTGTTACAAATTGAGTTCGGTTGTCCTCATTGCGTTCTTCTTAGAGATTAATAAAAAGCAAAGCGGGATTAGATTATTATAAAACACAGTGCTACCTTACGTTATTTTAGGGGATGAAGCTTACCCTCTCTTTCCATTTCTAATGCGTCCCTTCCCTCGTCACGATCTTACAGATTCGAAGAAGATTCTCAATTATAGACTTTCGAGGGCTCGTCGGTGTGTAGAATGTCCTTTCGGTATTTTACGAGCTAAATGGAGATTTTTGGCAACAGAGTTGGAGACAAATGTGGAAAACTCGGAGATAATTGTTAAAGCAGCGTTATGTAACATTATATAACGTTATGTATGTTATGTAATGTAACGTTAAAAAGGAATGTTATGTAACATATTTTGAACACTTTAGAAGTTATTAAACTTCTCTTTGTCAAGTTATTTGATTTTTTAAAAACTTTTGTACGTTGTTTTTTTTATTAAAGTTTGAAAATACCTTCGAACTGCATTATTTGTGCAACCTCTGTCCAACATCTTGCTGTAACATCTCTGTTGCAATGCCTAGGATCCCTGGGATCCCAAATAGCTGGGGGCTTTTCGAGTTCAGTTATTCAAAGTTCGAAATCCATCTCGCTTACCCAAGCGTGTAACTAAACTGGCAGCTAACTAACAAGCAAAATCGCATTAACTAGCGTCTTTATATTTGCCAATTTGAACATAACAAAAGATTCCAGAGAAATTATCTGATAGCGACTGGAGGCGTTTTCAAATGATTGTGCAGTGTGAACGCAGCCATGTGAGATAGCGAATATAAACACAGGCGCCCAACGCAATTATGCTGGCATCTCCAAAACAATGAATTCAACAGCTTTAATTAACGTCATTCGGGTTAATGCTTTGAACAATGTGTTGAAATCAGATTGATATTTCGCTTGGTAAACAATCGTCCCAGCCAATTTTAATTTAGCAAATCTCTTGAAATAACTGTTTTAACAACACGCAAGTAGGAGCGGCGATACCCAGCGGATCAAAAAGCCGCGCGATTGTACTTTTTTTTTTCTCTTTCTTTATTTAAAGTTGGTACAATCTCGAGCTATACATACAAGCTAATTAAAACCAACTAATTTAAATTACCAGCGCTAAATATAATATAAATCAAATGTAACCGATGTTGTTAACATATTCCTTGCAAAGATTACAGGTACAATCAAACGATGTAGATTCTGAGATTTTTTTCTTGAATATTGATAAAGTAGGGGAGTACTTTATCTCATTTGGAATTGAGTTCCATATTTGGCTACATCTGTATGATACGGTATTAAATCCATATCTTTTGTAATGTGGCTCCGCTGTTTTGAATTGGGAGTTTCTTAAGTAATATGGGCATTCATTTATGGAAAATATTTCATCCATAAAAAGTGGATTCAATCCGTTAAATGTTTTGTAAATTTCTAACGCAAGATATTGTAAATTTTTCTTATGAGAAGTTATTGTTTTATTCTTTATTAAAAGTTTTTCAAAAGTTGATTCATAATCATCATGAGCTATTCTCATTGCTCTTTCATGAATCCGGTTTATTCGATTATTACTTTTCCTACTGCAAAACATCCAAATAAGAGGACAGTAATTAAAATATAATAATATGAACGTTTTCATTAAAAGAATTCGCTTAGATTTGTCCATATACGAAGCAATCCTGGCTAGAGCGTTTACCTTTTTCCCAGCTTATTTACAAAAAACTTTAATATGTTCTTCTAATATAAGTTGACGGTCTATTGTTACTCCCAAAAGTTTAACATTCTTACTTTCTATTATAACAGAACCATTTATATATAATAACGATGCGCTTCATAACCCCTTTCTCCGTGGCGACATGAGCGAAAAAGCTGAGGCTCAGAGCTAATTTATCTTTGTTCTGATCCCATGGAATACCCAAAACTTTCACGTTTTCATTTCGAATAACACGAGATGGGGCGTTTTCCCTGTTTTCAAATGAATTAATTAAATGGCATCTTCATTTCCCGAAAGGTCTGCTTGATTTGACAGTTTTTCTTGCGCTTCTATTCTCCGTAAAATTTTCGAAATTTAAATCCTCCGGCGATAAAACATTGTTTCAGTTTTTGATACATTCCAAAACATTTTTCCTCAGATGCGTAGGAAGGCGCAAAATCATCCACGTAGATGTATGAAATGACATTTTCGATAAAAGTAGGATCAGAACTCATGGTCGAATACAAATGATGTCTTATTACTATGCACTATATTTTATAGCGGAAATCGAAGCATAAACCAATTGAAAGTGATATATAAACCTTGCATTCCTTGTCTATGCGTTCATCATAAGAACGCATATTTATCACATTAAAGCGACATGTTTCTTCTCAGTCCCCAGCGGTAGAAGCCATGCTTTCCGAGCCCGTTCCAAAGAAGACGGGGGTTTAGTGCATAGTATCTGGTACCCAGGGTAAGTATCTGGCTAGCGAGACGCAACGTCAAATTTTTTGGAGTGGAAATGTATGCTTATTTTAGATAGAATTAGGATCCAAAAGATTACCATGGTATACAGGAGAATCAAATATAGCAAAATCCTCACTTTAAACTGCATTTTAAAAAATTAGTAATTTGCGAAATTTCATAAGGCAATGACAATTTTTTTCTCTTCAGGACCAATTAAATGAAAGTTGAAGGATTTGACGGCACGAATTTCTGCAGTGCATGAACAAACAGCACGTGGGTGTCTCACTCTTAGGCAACAACGCCTTCAGGGTATGTAACAAACTGGCATCACTTGAGCCATTCTTTTATCAGCTTCCTCATGATTTCACTTTATACTTCCTTCGAAACTGTCCCTGGAAATTAAGCACCTTCATCGTGGAATGAAAACACCAGAGATGGCGAAGACGACTTCGACCCTCTCTCCCCTCTCTGCTTTTTAAAAAGATATAGCCAGATTTATTTAATAATCAAAGAGCCTGGTAATCTTTCAGAATTGTGATTGTTTTCGGGGTGTTCTTCGCATTCTTTGTTCTCGTTTTGAGTTTTGCTTTGAGAAAATAAAAATATACTTCCATTTCCACTGGCATAGCGTTTTTCAAAAAATTATTCGTATCATTCAATTTCGATCCGAGGAGCAGTATCAAGTATAGATATATTTGATACACTAGTAAAAATTTTCTAATTAGACACGAAAAAATTGAATGTATAAGAAAGTACGAGCCCTTTACAAAATAAAAGCCAAGAAAGCTATTTTGCTTGGGTCTTAAATTCCGCAATGGGTATGCTAAAGATACGACAGAAGCCAACAAGAAAGGCCTTTAAGACCCAAAGGGACAAATGCGTTGAGCTTCTACGCGAGGCAAGAACTTATCATTACAAAAATTAAGAACGAAAAACATGAATGATAATAAAATGTGAAAGATTGTTTTAACCCCAAATGCATTCCTTGATGAGTGACTAAAAATATGGCACCCACTTTTATTTTGAAAAGCAAAAGTCAAAGAGGGGATTTACGCAAACAATCAATTTAGTCGGGGAAATCCAGCGGAGACCAAAATGTCGACACAAGGGACTTTGAATAATAAAACACTTTTCGTTTATCACACTGAGTACGGATAGTAGCCGTAAGTGTGCAGAAAATTTATATCCAGATGTGTATCAATAGTAAACAGGGGAGAAGAAAGAAGCATTTGATTGGTTCTTTCATTTTTTACCAATCAATCAGTAGCCGTTTACCTTGAACCATTTTCACCAGAAGGAAGGAACTCTACTACATATAGATCCATATAATTTTTTCTTTTAGAGATTAATAGCAATTGACAAATATAAAAGTGTCTTAAGCTATCTGCCAATCTGTGCTGATATTAGCTATCAATGAGCATTTGAATCGAATCATTGATTGGACAATTTTAGATCTGCCGATAACCTTCAAATTTGGAATTCTAAAAGAACTTTCTATATTAATTAGCCACAAAGATTTCAGTTAGATTATTCTTAGGCAGACCAACAAATACCTGGATCTTATTCAAAGAAAGGTATCATGTTTCAGGATTTTTTCAAGAACAAGTATCATAATTCCAGAATTTTATATCAGGACAGGGCCATGAATGTTTCCCGGGCAGGCACATCCTCGTGATCTTTATTCTAGGTAGACCCGCGTGCTAGTTATGTAACTCAAGTTTCACCTGGTGCGCAATGCCCCTAATAAACGCCATCATTCGTCTAGGGACAAATAACGTTCCACTTTCTAAATACAAGTTAAACGACAGAATTTCTTTAGAAATCCGTATTCCCAAACACTACGATTTGTTTTCGAGGAGCTAAAAATTTCAAAATCAAGCAGGCACGAAGCCAAGGGAGGGTACAAGAGAGCATTGCCCGCCCAACCAGAATTTTTTGCCCCTTTATACCCGTCCATAAATTTTAAGATGGAAATATGTCTTTGTCTAAAAACTCAGAAAACGGCGTGTTCCTACGTGACTTTTAAAAAAAGTCCCAACAAAGTATGTGCCCTGTGCATTCATGAAAAAAACCAATATCGACTGTGCACCAGTCCACACAATGCTAGCTATATTGAGTCGATCATACTATTGAAATGCTTCAGCCAGCGTTGCGTGCTTGTTTGTGGCACTGCGCAAGGTAGATGATCCCAACGAAGACGCCAAACCCAACGATCTAATGATCCCAACGTAGACTCATACTTTTTTTTATTTTGAACGATAATCTTTGATGTCACCGCCTTCTGATGACTTTTTAAATATGATAAGGCTCCGTTGCACCTATCATTATGGCTTAGTTTCCATTTAAGCTTGGTTTCCGCTATGGGTTAACGTGAGATAATTCTGAGCTAAATTGAAAATTAACTCATGGTCTAAATTCAAGTTAACTTGAGATGGTGTGAAATAGCGTGAGATAACGCGAGCTATCTCAAAATTAACCCATGTACCGATTCGGTTTCCACTTGAGATAGAATTAAGTATGGAAATTTCAGAAATCACATTTTATTTGAGTCTTGCAGCTATGGCGGGCGTCTTACAAGAACAACTTATTTTACTTCTGCTTTTGAGAATACTTAGAAGGAAAATATTTTTTGCTAGAAGTGCCGTTCGCGATCTGCGCCAAGGTTTTCTGTACGGAGAGTCTACCAAAAAAAGATATGCGTTTGGTGAATACGACCACTTGCAACAGGATCTTAGAAATGAGAGTAGTCAAAGTGGTCATCATATTTCAGGGCACTTCTTGCCCCCTTTGCCCCTCTTCGAAAAGGGCAGGAGGGGCAGCTACCCCTCCAGCCCCCCTTGTGAAGGCGCCCCTGTTTACAGGTAATTTTTTTATTTATTCTGCTAAATACGTAATAGAAAACAAGACTTCTCTTCAGATTTTTGCGTTTTTAATCGCCAGTGAAGGAAGATTACAAAGAATCTACAAAAATTTCGTTACAAATTCAGTGCAAGATGTTAAATCTGTATCAAACTCTGTATCAATTGCAAGATATAGAATTTTGAAGGCTCTTTAATACCATTACCTAAGTTTTTCAAAAACCCTTCTTAGGTTCTTGCCATCAAATAACAAGCAACGAGCTCCTTTGCTTCGCTCAGTTGACAAGACAAGCTTAACTCAGCATTGCCTGCCAGAGGCTTTGCTAAAGGAGGGCGATTCCCCCTATGCTTTGTCCGTCGGCACATAATTTATTTCTCAAACTGTAGTATAATTATGATCTTTTTGTAACAATAGTAACGTGTTCAAATTTCTGTAGCAGTCAAACTTACAATGTATGGCACTAAAAATGCTTTAGATTAAACGTTATAATTCTGAATACTGAAAGATTGAAATAGAAACACATAAAGGCAGCACATAAAATTACTTATCTTATGACCACACCCAAAAAGAGTACCCCTCCGACAATTTTTTGGCTTCGCCCCTATTGCCCGCTCACCTTTTCAGTGCTGGCTTCATGCCCGATATCAAGTGAACTAAATATATAAATATTAGCGCATAGCAGCAACCAGAATGACATCGAGAAAATAAAGAAGTATTATGCAATCTCGATCGAATTTTACAATATCAATACCAATAATAAATTACGCAATGAAAGAATTATATTTATAGGATTCAGTACAAAATACTCCCAATATATAAAACAAATTTACCGTTTTTGCCCGACTGAAGACTTGCTATCGGTTGCGATGAAACGTCTTTAAGAGCGAAGACTTTGCTTGTGAATTTTTACTCGAAGTCAGTTTTTCCACTGAAGTGACCTTGCAGAAAGCTCTGATTGCACAGAATGCCACGTGTTAGTGAGGAATCAGAATATTTTATCTGGAAGATCACCACGTGACTTAAGTCTTAAGAAAGGAATATTATTAACCACCCATCCGTCTGTTTTGGTGTTATCCGATATAATCTTTGAAGACATACCTTTTATTGTAAGGAGTGACTTAATGCAAAGAATGTGTGAAAGTTGACGTTGACATATCGAGGAGAGGACTGGCTCTGTATCAAGTGTGGGTAACCATTTTGGAGAGTGGGCCAGATCCTTCAAATCTTTTCTCAAAGCGGGCCAAGAGTAATAAGAAAAACGACTACTATAGCTGTAATAAAATGGCGACTACTATAGCGGAAAATTTTCATTTAAATTCAATTACACTACAATCAAAAACCACTCTATCACAAGGTAGTTTCCAAATAGGTAGCCTTGATTTTCAAGATAAGACTACTACAATCGTAAGTGCAAAAGAGAAAACTGAAGAAAACAACTGAAACTCTAAGTTATGTAATTCAGGCTTTGGCGAAGTCATTCTAGAAAGGAGATACTGAATAATCCACCAATCAACGTTTAGCATCGGTCTTTTAGCAAAGGCCATTCACTTTAATAAAAATATCAATTTTTTTTAATATAAGCTCCTCGGCTCATTATCAACTGAGACATGACAAAATAGAAACAAATGTGATAACAGCTCAACTGCTATGAGTGTGCCGAGCAAAATTCGTTCTTGCTACATTTGTTAACTTTTGCCAAGTCACTCAAAAGTTCTGTTGTCCTATCTTTCACCAAAATGAATTCTTGACAACGGATAGTGGACAAATTGTTTCCATGATTCCCAGGTTTGATGAAAATAATCTCATTTTGAATCGATATGTTTCATCCAATATTTGCAACCCCCGGAAAACTATCCTTGCCAACCATAATGGAAACCATAAGATGATCTCTCCCCCGGCCGAATTGTGGCCCGTGGGCCGTAGGCTATGCATAAATCGATTATTTATTTTATGCAAACAATTTGCATTAAAAACTTTATTTTTAAATTTTACTTTTACAAACTTTGGCGCAACCAAAATATTGCAGGGTGCGTGCGATAAAGATGTGACGCCACTGATTCCCTGCACTTCTACAATCCCGGACAAAATGGTTGAAACTTTTCAAGGAAAGCCAATCCTTGCCTGCACAGTTTGGTAGGCTACAAAACCATTGCTCCTGGCTATGGAGACTTGGTTCTCTCTGCTCTTACTCTAAACGCCAAGTCAATGTTAACTAGTAATGTCACCCATTATGCCTATTACAATGCTTTTGCAGTCTTTTGTGATGTGTTTTGCACCAGTGCAGTTACAACATTGTTGATTTCGTAGCAGAAATGCCTGCCTCTGTTTGGATTTTTTCTCTGTGCGGTCCAGTGATCAATGCTCGATTTTGTGACAGTATACACAGCTGAACATTGTTAAGCTTTCTGGCTTTCATTTTGCTGAATTAGTTCTTTTTGCATAGCGTTTCCTTTTGTCCCTTTCAAATGGAACGAAGGCTCTATGTCCTACATGCTATCAAATATTCCCAAAATCACCCCAAGAACTTCTTGAATTCTCACTTTGCCTGTTATTCTTTCGTTTCATCGTATATTGCAATCTGGGTTTGATCCATGAATGCTCCTTCTATTAAGCACATTTTATGATTTTCGTATCCCATAGGCTCTAACGACGCATAATGAGCGCAACAAGCCTTCGAATCAATACCATACTCTGCCTTCATCTTCTCTGGGGCCAATTCATAATTTATTTCTTTAATCCTGATCTAGAAAAGACAAACCTGTTAAACCTTGCGTCTGGAAGGCCACTGCCTTCGTACCCACGCATTTACAGGTAGTGATTATGTATCGCCTTCCATACGTCAAGGAAAAGGGCCTGCTGGATTGCAATGAAAGACAACTAAGGGTTGCTTGTTTTTGCTTGGCATAGTCGTTGGGCCGAGTTCAAATGTTGTCAATGCTTTGGACAAGTATTTATGTTAGCTGTATGGGGAAAACGACTTGCTTTAATTGATGAAGCTATTCTGGAGAACATTAGAAAAAGACGAGAAAACTGCAGAGTGCAGATCTATTTCTATTGCCTTCATACAGTTGCATCCTTAGGAAGCCGTTCGAATGGCTACCATCAATTTCCATTGGTAAGAGACTGGTACAATACCGTAACAAGCTTATTCTGAAGGCTGTCAAACTTTTAAAAGCTGATTCTAGATCAGATTTTAATGTAGATTCCGAATTTTGCGATTACCAATCTCAAGCGGAAGTTCAATTTTTGATAACGTCATAAAATGTCAATCGCAACACATTTTACACTCCTCCTACCTTATATTTTGAGCAAAAGCCAACAATATATAGATTTCTGAATAGAGGACATCAAGACCTTTCAAATGATATATAGCAAGTGTTTTTAGCCAAGTAAATCAGATCTAGCTTATTTTAAACAGAAACCAAAGTACGCAGAGCTGTGCGAGAAATCGGTATATTTACAGCAACTGTCCTTGCATTTTTTATATAACGCTGTGGTTGTTATATAAAGTGGATCAAAGTAATCCGTGTTTGGCGTTCCCACTAGCCCACAGATTGGTTAAATGATACCCGGGTAAAACCTGATCCAATTAGACAGGGAATTTTGCATAACATTCTAGGCAGGGCATTCCTCTCAACCACCGACCGCATTGCCTAACCTTTGTTTTCTCGGTTGATTATGGTGGGGGGTGAAAGGCTTGGCGGATCGGCGTATTTCGTTAATTTCAAAGAGCGGATTTTGTATTTATAAGTTTGGCAGAACGGATTTTCGTATTTTGTACCCCTGATTTGCACATTTTGCACAGCTTTTTAATTTACATGTAAAGATGTTTGTTTGTTCATATGTCCATAAGAAGGACAGTCATACTCAAACATGACACTGTCACAAGCATCCAACAAAGTGCAACAGTGCAAGCAAGTTCTTATGGACTTTGAAAGAGCAGTTCGTTCTACAGAACGTTTACCAAGTATCCTAAATGGACCACAGGAGATGGTTTCTGCGGCTACAATCAAGTCAGTTGATATTCTAGCTTGGGGTTTGCAGAGGTTGGATCCTATAATGTCATCTTTTGGAATTGTAGGCACGAACCTTCTCAGCTGCATGACGTTGGATGTGAAACATCTACATTCAACAAGCCATATTAAACACTCATAATTTACTATCAAAACAAGAATACTGTAGGGATTTTGGCAAAACCGTCAAAGAAAGTATCAAGCGCTTGTCATCATCATCCTTTTACTATCACACAAGTGAAAAAGCCTCATGGTATTCAAAGCCAGAGCATGGTATTCATTCAACAACCCTACCTTTGGTTTCCCCACTACCTCAGATAAACATGGATGAAAAGTCGGTCGGTGAAATGCGAAGTTACGCTTACACGTATGGCGCTGCGGTGCGTCAGAGGACAACTCGTCAAGAAACGACCATGACAAAACATGGCACCATGCCTGAAATGATCTATCAAAGAAAGCTAATCATCACAGAGAAAGCTAACTTTGCAAATCATAAAGATACAGTGGTTGATGCAGAGGAAATTGACAGCATTGGAAACGAAGTTGAAGAAATTGAACTCGAGTATGATTCAAGTACTAACGACGAAGATGATGATGCAACAAATTCTGAGCTCGACACAAGGTCAACGTTTCTGATCGGAGTTTCCACTCGATATGGAAAAGCTGTGAGGATCAATAACAAATACATATCATGATATCGTGACTATTGGTATAAATAACACATTAACTTGACGGATTTCGTATTTCGCCGGAAAAAATTAACGTATTTTCGTATTTCAATACACCCTTTCACCCCCTATATTATGGAACAATATGGTATTACGAATATTTCAGGCTCTTACAACATTTTCAAAAATTCATCAAAGTCACATTACCGATGACGTCAAAAAGGTTATCCCAGTACCCCAGTCCAAAAATAGCTTTTGAGGGCTTTTTTAAAGCTTGATATGAACTTCATCTTATTCAGCATATCGGATTGTATACTTGTACCAAACTTCATGCTATTATCATAACATGCACAATTCCACTGCTATGCGTCTGCACTATCAGGAAACTCGAGAATGCAAGTTGTTTGATAAACGAAAAGTTTCCACAGCCATAAATTTTTGCTTATAGGTCAGATCACATTGCTCTTTTTAAATCTTTTGCTCAGTTTTGCATGTTCTTTCCGATAGTATCATCAGATTTGAAAGTTGAAATTTTGCTGACCGTGCATTTTTCATGCTTCCGGAAACGCAATTTCCGGTCATTTGCCAGAATGTTCCCAGGGCTTAAAATGATCAGTGGCCTTTACTCTTATGCTTTAAACTTTAAAAACTTCGGTTACCCAGTTTGCTAGAATGTTATGCAAAATTCCCTGTCTAAATAGGAGACCCGTTTTAAACTTATCCGTTTTTAAAGTTTTTAAAGCTCTAGCCTGCTTTGATATGATTCGTTCTAATTGCTTGCTCCTATGCAGCTAGAATGAGCATCTCTGTTTCTCTTTGATCCTCCTCTTACCCACCTCAACCAAACCATGTCAACCTCTCCTTGCTAGCAGCTTCTTCTATTTTTCAAATAATCTTTTGGTGGCACAAAGCTTAAAAATGGCTTTGAAAAAAGCAAACATTATGTTACTTTTAAGCTTACTTTTTTCAAAGTCATTTTTCGCTTTTTCTGAAAAACTGTCCATGCAGGGCATTGTCGGCCCAATTTTGATCAGTTTTCTTTTTTATTCTAGTTTTTAATCTCTTTGCTGCTTCTGGTATAGAGTCAGCTCTGTTCATTCGAACTGATGTACGTCGAACTTTTACTAATTTCCTTGAAAATTTCCTTAAAAAACCCTTGCGAAAAATTGGTTGGCAAAGAACTATACATTTATCAAAAATCGAAGAACAATTTGTCGTACTTCAGTTTTTCAAACCAAAAAAGTTGAAAAATCCAAAAATAGGCAAAATTATGGTATCGACATTTTCATAAAAACATTGTGTAACAAATCATTCAATTAAAAATCGATTAATTCCAGACTAGGCCATGCTTTTTGTAATTAGCGTTTCGATGGGCTCGGTCCTTTATGAACGGTTTCTTAAAAAAAAGATAAGTGTGTGTGTTTTACTAACTACTGTTGTCACTTGGGCGGAACATGGGCGTATACTACAGAGAGAATCATGTTTTCGAATAAGAATATATCTATATATATGATTTTATGTAATGACGTATACTCAAGAAAGAGAACCTCTCTCCATGCCACGTGCTCCTATCTCTAAATCAATATTAACCATGAAAGGGCGTAATGCGAAGAGATCCCGGAAATGCAAAATATGGTAAGACCTTCTCACCATGTTTCCCGGAGCCCTGGACCCAAATGGAGGTTTTCTGTTATCTTCGCAATAATTAACTATGAGACAGATGGCACACTAAAATCATTGAAAAAACTTGATGTTAATTTAGGGGACATTGAGAAACAGATACATCTTGGTTTCAACAACTTAATCAATGCCAAATGACAGGTTTATGGAATCTTAACTTCAGAGGATACTTATAAATGCCCGACAAATGTTTTAATAGTTTCTTATGTCTTATGTTACTTTTAAAGACTAATAGTTGCATCACAGTTACAATGCAGCAGGAAACATTACGGTCGCACGGTCACTGACCGGAGGAAGGTCCGCAAAAAACAATAGAAGCTCCTATGACACACCAAAGCCACGCCCACTTTCTTTGTGAGGGAGGTTTGCCTTCTGGGATGTTTTTGTCTGGGGGAAGGTTAACAAATTTTCTGGACTCTGGTACAATGGCTGCCAAAAGTACTTGAACACCCAGAATTTTGCGTTGCATTCTACATCTTTCATTCCTTTTCCGGAAAAATTACTACTTCCGCTCCCTTCCTTCTAGAACAATGCTGATAATTTAGAGAAATATCATAAAAGTAACTCAAAAGAAAGTGTTTCCTGAAATCCTAACCCATTTTATTGTAAACCAACATTGTTCCGTTGGGCAGTTGATTGATTTTGACCTTCCAAACAGGCATAGTACAAGATGATAGAAAACATTTCTTGCAAAGCTAGGTTACATATAAAAACTGTTAGCTTTCCCAGATATTTGAGGCCCTATAAGGGGGGATGACGTTATTTCAAATTTCATAATGATATCTTGCAATTATTTCATATTTCAAAATTAACAAAGCAAAGTATTTCGAAATTGTCGAATGCTCCATTCTGCCTTCAGGTGTCAAGAGAAGTTGGACCGACTCACATACAATTGGGGAAAACCAATTTTTGCAGCCACAAACATTGAAAATGTGTAAAGAATGGATGCATAAAAAATCAAATAGATTCCGTATGTTTCTAAGGCTTAAAATGATCAGTGGCATTTATTTTTATGATTTAAACTTTCATCAAGTTTAAAACAAACAGTTAAAGTGGGCCAAATTCTCTTTGCGGTTGCGTGTTTGTGGCTTTTCATAATAATGCCTTGCGTAACTTATAATCACTTTTAACATTACTTTACATTACTTATTGGCGCCATACTGAAATCAAAGATATGGTCAAGAACAAAATTTTCAAGATAAGAATAACTTAATAAAGTAATGTAGATAAAAACATGTTGATGATGCTATTTGATGTTCCGGTCTATTTCGTTGAGATAATATAAGCCAAAAGTATTTGCGGTAGATTTTATGCTATTGGTATTTTTCCTAAACGTAAAGTATGTAAAGCCTTTTAAACCAAGGTGTAATATGGTTGGTATCTTAACAGGTCTACAGATCAATAGTCACTTGAGTCAATGCTTGAGATCAATAGTCTCTTATATCTTTAAGTATTTGTAATTACAAACATGCATTTTTTCCTCTCTATGTTATGGCCCCGGAGTAGACAGTGTTAATGCTCCCCGGAGTATCGTCTTTGTAGTGTATGTAAAGTAGCGTGTAGTTAAGGTATTACAGTAACTTGTTATGTAACTTTTTGGAATGTATAAATAGTCAATGCTGTTATCAAGTAGATAATTCTCTCACAACATTTAAAGAGGTATTCAGTTATTTTGTTATTCCACATTTCAAACTGGAAACCAAAGTTATTTATAAGTGGTCAAAATATACAAAAATATAAAAAATTGATTTTTTTGATTTCACATTTAAAGAGGTTTGTCATATTTGGTTTGATCGGCGTTAAAGAATTTGCTGACTACGGCTACACACAAACAAAGATCTGACTTCGTTGGAACATTTTGTATTTTGGAAAATATGTACTTGTGGAAAGATTGGACTGTTCTGTTATCAACCATATTGATTATTCCGTAAATCAGAGTGGAAACACGCCATACAGTTACTTCAGGCGATGTTTCCCGTGAATGCGAGTATTTCGCTTTTTGTCACATGACCATTTTGCAATCGCAGCCACGTCTTTGCGCTTTATTTCATTGCAGACTGCGGCTTTTGGCTGCTGTTTTGCAAGGGTTTGTGGTTTTTGGATTTCCTTTCAAACTTGAGATAATTCACAAAACGAATTCATTGTCCAAAAAAGAGAAGCAAAATAATAGAATGTATCAGACAGACTTTTCATTTTAAGTAACTTTATGATCTGAATGCAAAGTAAATATTTAAAGACACAATTAAACCACTTATATCACACACCAATGCATTGAGATTGCAGTGTCAAAATGGCAGTATAAGCTACATTGACTCTGATTGACGTAATCGTTGTCACACGAGCGATGTGTTATAAGGATCATGTTTGGCCTTTTCGTTGTGTCAAAACCACACTTTCGTCACTTAATGCTGGTATCATTTGACATGCTTTTTGCAAGAATACTGTTTTTGAAATTATAGCCTGATTACTCTTTTTGCGTTGAATTAGCTTTGTGCGTCATTGTATATAAAGAAGAATTTCCTTCTAACTATTCAATGGCAGGGGATCCTTTCCGCCGAGAACATAAATAAGTAAATAACTCTCAGATTCGTATTGGTTAGTCATGTTTCCTTACGTGTATTGAACTTAATCAGTAACAAAATGTCGTACACCAGTTAGTCATAATTCAACCAAAGTTTCTATGAATTAATTTCTATTAAACAAGTTTAAAGGGACAACGCATTTAGTTATCATTGCGTTATTTCAGCTCAGAAAAAGCAGAAGTTTACTTTATCTGTGTTCCAATTGAATTTCGATAACAACTGGAAATGGCAACTTGTGAACTGGATGACGGAAGAGTGATTGTGAGAAACAGAAAACTATTTCATTTGGAAAGGTCTCTAAAGTATAACTGGGATGTCGCTTACTGGCACTCCAAACGTGACGAGAAATGGTTGGAAACACAAATCGAGAAATTTCGTCAACAAGAACGTAGGGCAATTATAAATTTGAATCTCAAGATACACGAAATAGGTAGACGGCTTACTCAAACCTCTCAAGTGCCCTCGAAGTCGGTTGATTACGCAGACAACTTCAAGGACAACGGAACAGGGACAACGCAGTTAAAAAATGGCACTGGAAGCTTTGGGGAAACGCAAGCTCGTTTACGAGACCAGCAATCTAAACCAAACAAGCCAGTTAATGAAGCCTATATAAATGATGACCTCATATTATCGGAGGAAAGACAGCATTCTCCGCAGCATCCAGGGGAAACATTAAACGCTGCTCAAGATATCATGGAGGATTACACTGTGGATAAGTTAAAACCTACAGCTTCTCGGATTTCAAAGAATAAACAATTCAAAACAATGTTGGCATCTGCTGGGGATCAATCGGGTTTTAAGAACAGAACTTCGAGTTGCCCCAGTTCTCGTTGTAAATCTAAATGCAGCTTAGAGCCTCAGCGAATCCTTGGGCGCTCAAGGTCATACACAGTGAGTGTGGCAACCGTTTCCAGCCGGACACCAGTCGTTACGAGACAGAGAAGTTATACAGGACGGGAATCTAATAGAGCAACGATAACTAAATCGAATACCAGCTCTCCCATCAATTCATGCTTAAAGGACGAATTTGATCAGTTACGTAATTGTAGATATTTGAGATAGAAGGTTTTGTTAATGAACGTTTCAAAATAAGCAAACAATTTGTGTCCTTGAATTGGTAACATTATTAATTACCCTCTTTATGTAACGTATTGCATTTTCCCAAAGGCTACAGTATCATTGGTCATACGGGTGTTACAATAACCAAATTTTATCTCTCGACCCACCCCCTAGCGTCATTTCGTATATTTACTGAACCCTAATCCATGATAATAAAATGATATATTGATGATCCATATTCTCCGAAATTTCATTGTCGTATTATGAACAAAGCATCGCTAGAGCAAAAACTGGGAACTCCACATCGTTGATTTTGTCCTTAAATATATACAAAAGGTAACTATATACAACTATAACATGGACGTAACTTGTTAGCTCCTCGCAAACTTATAGCGTGTCTTTGTGGTAAATATCAGACTGCAGGCTATGAAACTTTCAACCAACGTCTAATAAGGTTGCTTTATTCGGTTTATCGACCTATCTTCTTAATGCTCGCGAAATATTTTGTTTAGTATGTCTTAACTTCAAGACCCTCTCCCGAATTGTGTATATACCTGTTTTTGTTTCCGGACGTCCTGTTTCTAAATTATGTTGAGCCGGGAATATGAATGTTCATAATTCCTTGATCTCAAATTAGCATATTTGCTAAATTTCTTATCATGCTATAAAAATAACAACGAATGTAGTGTTATTTGCAACAAATTTTGTAAATGATTAGACACTGGTGTCTATTCATAATTTTTTGACATGGCTCTCTATATATACTATATATTTATATGAGAAGCCGCACTGTAAGAATTGTTGGATAGTATTTAAAATGAACACGCAGAACAAGAATATGACAACTTATTCCAGCTTAATTGCTTTTTAACAGTTCAACTATAAAGCTGTCTTGAATAATGCAATCAGTAAAATTACATTGCATCCTGATGATGTTTTTGAATGAACTCTTCAGCTTTAAATATTTGAAAACCACGAGGGAGACGGAGAAAGGCGAAGAGGAAACGGAGGGGAGAGGAAGCTGCCCCATGTTTACGTTTTAAGAAAAGGAGCAAAGAGATCCAAAATGTCTTTTTCTTAACAATTCTCTTGATGCTGCCCTCTATTCGGTGTCAAGAAAATTGATGATTGAATTTCGACTGTTGGTGCATTTTGTCGATTGATTTTCCTATTGTTTTGATGACTAAGTATTGCAAAATGCCAGCAATTAACGTAACTTTGAGATCGAAATCAGAACGCCAGATAGGAAAGAATTACTAGAAGCTGAAACATGCCCCCCCCCTTAACCCCTGAGTCTTTTCGGCGTCACTGAAAATCAGTCTATTTAGTAACGGCCATTAAGAAGAGTAAGCTGCAGCTAGTGATTGAAATTATGGGGGTATGGGGGCCCTGGCCCTTAAATTCGGGCTTTCGTCGGAAAATTGACAACCGTTTAACATTTTGAAATTACTGCAAGAAACCGTTCTGAAATCTATTTTAAGCTAATCTAAGGGGCATGTTTGCCAATTTTTCTGCTCGCAGGTGATCCATAGTTTCCCTTTTTACCACAAGGGCCTCTATAACCTCTCTGTGCCCGTTTGGCAAAATTTGAACATAGCATGACTGGTAAAATATTAGTCAGTACTAAACAATGAAACAAACAACATATGACCAAAATCAAAACTGCTTGTAAATTGTCTATTTAATTTCAATTCGGCAAAGATTAGCCGAAATTTCCATCGGATTCTTCACAAAAGTTATTTTCAAACGTATTTCCCACTGAAGAAAACAATATAAAATACAGAAAATGAACGTTACATTTACAATCATGTTGTTATCATGAACGACTAGTCAAAGTGTAATCGGTCGACCCTTAGATGAGATATCAATCTTGATACCAAAAATAATGAATAAATTGTTCTTTTTGCTACTTAATTATGGCATGCTCCCCAAAGATTTCTAAGGGTTCCGCCAAAAAATCACCCATTTTCATCAAACTAGAAATGATCCAAGATGTTATCCTGTCCGAAAATCGTAGGCCTGCCCCCCCCCCTTCTCAAATGAAAGCTTGAATTTCCGCCACTGGCTGCAGCGGCTATGCCCAAAATTTTATCAAACCTTGGTTTATGAAGTGGGGTCTGCATCTCATCTTATTCAGCATGTCACATTGTGGACTTGTACCAAATTTCATGCTTGTACCATAAAATGCACAATTCGTCCTATTTTTGAGGTTAAGCAGCTGCACTAAAAGTGGGGTCAAATCAAGTAAACGGGAGGACTAGAAGATATTTGAAAAACAATCAATAGTGTTTTGTGGGGGGGTATTTTAGAAAAGAATTACAGAGAATTTACCATAGAGAGTTCACATTATCAAGTAAGGAAATATCAACATCCATTTGTGGTGCAACCCTTTAATTCCATACTTAGCAATTCCATACTCTCGTATTCTGGCATAAAATTTTTGAATAACATCCCAAAAAATATTCGAAGATCTCCTAATAGAAAAGTTTTTGTTCAATAATTCAAGAAATTGCTCCGTCAGCTTTTTTTACGTACCTTAATATTTTATCTTGAAAACTGCTTTTCCTCTTAATAATTTGCATCTTAATATTTATGCAATTTGTAATTAATTGCTGAAAATATAAAATGAAATGAAACGAAATGAAATAAATGAAATGGAATACCAAAACTTGAGCTCCCTCGAGGAGTTTTTTACTGGTCTCTGTTTGACACGTGAGGCTTTTCAGTACGAGACAAGTTTATATAATATTTTTGTCGGGTAGCTTCAGTCGTTGTAAAGTGAAAGCATGTTGACCCGTAATCTCAGGTCGACAGTGTGCCAAAACGGCAGACTGATTAAAGATCTACTAAAAAGAAAATCTGCTCTATTCAACAGAAATGCCACAGTTGCACAGAATGTCACAGATTCACGAGGCAAGTTGCAGAGTGTGTATACGTAAGAGGAGCTAGGCCTATCTGCTGGTCCCATCTGCTTCTGATTGTACTTGATTTTTTGCCGAAGCATAAAGTTTTTCAAATGAAAAAGTTCGAAATTTAATCCATCCATGTCTTACCATTAACTCTTGCTAAGCTACTAGGGGTGACCTCTTCAAGTCTATCAAAAATACTACCTTATATGGTCTACGAACAATTCAGTTATTTGGTGCAAAACTTTGGAACACCATTCCACCGTTAATACGCGTCGCTACTACTATGGATTTTCGCTCAAAGCTGAAAAGTTACTTTCTTAATTTACATTCATTGAGCTGGGGGAGGGGGGGGGGTGCTTTCTCTCGATTAGCTCCTCCTTAATCATCAATTCTTAAGTACAATATATAATGTATCTGTTAAAGTTATTTAATTAGCGTTATAATTGATCTTAGTTTTAGAGTTTATGTCTGCATTGTGAATTGTGTATTGCATTTAGGGCATTTGGTGATAAAATGAAATGAATTGAAATGACTCTGTTATGGATTAAACCAACCAAACAGCTTAATAGACAAAATAAGACAAACTATAAGCTACCAATTTAAAGTAATAATAGGTTGATACTAAAGGCGTTATCAGTAATAGAGATTCAGATCATGGGCATGGCATATGGTCTTAAGCAGGGACGGACTTAGCAGGGGGGTGTATGGTGTGTGACACCACCCCCCCCCCAATATTTCTGTCTCCTTCGGTAAATTTGGTTCCATTCAGTAAAAACCATTTTTTGGTAGTCAGCAGTAACAAATTAACGCCAATACTTTACTTTATTTATCTCCTTAATATCAGTATTTATCTTCTTCTCAGTAGTGTAGTGGGGGAGGCAAGGGGAGCAGCCGCTCAGAAAGTCGGTGTCTGAGAAAATTGCAAATTTCCAATAGAATTAATATCTTAACGGGGGACTTTATATTTCAGACAATATTAAAATGTTTTTAAGGACTGCAAACGAATGTAAGAAATATTCTGAAATGTATCTCAAGCTAATCTGAAGCACGTCGTCACAAAAATTTTCTGCTAGCTTCGCTCACACAGGGACCCTCTTTTATAACTCTACAGAATGTTCAACAATTTATCCCACGTTATAGGATTTAAATAGAAAAGTCTTTCACGTTCTTTAGACAATCCCGATAAAATAGAAACTGAAATGCTAAAGCGCTTCAATCCTTAAAAAAAATTGGATTCTGAAATGCTTGTCGGGGATTTTGCTCCAAGGAGAACGGAATTAGTTTAAAACATTTAAATCCTGTTTGTCATTTTTAGATATTTGATTGAAACTGTGGAGAATCAGTTTTTACACGTAGTGCTTCCTCGCCTTATACAATTCAGAATGTAAGCGTTTGATGAATTGTCAAGAAAATAGGCAGTTGTAGAATGGGGTCAGCTACAAAAAGCCAGATATGATGTTGCATAAAGCGAAATTTCCAAGTAAAAAACCATAGCTTTTCCAAACGCTTTTGCAAAATGGGGTGTTTTTTTTTAAATTCTTAAGGGTGTGGTCAGCAAAAAATTTCTTCTCTTTGCCCCTCCAATCTTCCAAACCTGGCTATGTCACTGCTTCTTATCGTTTTTACCTCAAAGTTAAAAACCGAATTTTAAAAATGGGCGTTTCAATAATTTACCAGTGACCTGAAGGGTGTGGCACCAAAATTAGTGTCTAACACCCCCCCCCAATCATTGTTGCTTAGATCTGCCCCTGGTCTCAAGATTTACTAATGCGAATATTCTGTTAAAAGAATGGTCTCTTTGAATACCAGGGTAGAATCTGTGTCTGTTATACTAGAGATCTTGGGCATTGATGTGACTCCAGGCTAATGTACAGGTGTGAGACACCTCTTTTTTTCTTTGGCATAATCGTGTATTTTTAATTAGTGATCAGAGATTTGAGGTCACAAAGAAAAGCCCAATTTGCAAGTCCAGCTTGTAAGTATAGATTGGTCGTTACCCAAACTGTAAAGTTTGGGCTTTGCGGTAAAGCATTCCTCTGGCAATAAATTTTATCCTTCATTCTTCCAACCCATTATTAAAAGCCTGCCGCAGATTTTGTACACATTATTTGTTTATCTAGTCATGTTCCCCATGAATATTTCATCATCTAAACTTCTGACTTCTGGTGAGAAAAAAACAAAGAGTAGAAGGTCTTTATTTGTGAGTTCCCAGCACAGAATAATACTTTACAGTCTGGGTCGTTACAATTATTGTGATTTTATTAAGTGTTCTGTTGATTTAATCTTGAATTTATAATAGGATATTATTATTGATGCACATTGTTAGCACTCAATTTGTATTGATGATCAAGTCATTGAGTAGCTATGACTTCTGTGGAGTTTACCCTTGCAAGCTCTACCTAACAGGACGAGCCTTGTCAAGTAAGTTCTCGCTACACAGCAAATGCTGATTTCAATTTGCAATGCAGAGGGTCTATATGCCATTGAATGTAAACATTATGTTAAGTTGCATAATGGGTTATAGTTTTTAAAATTGTATTCAAGACAGACATGATTGATCAGTCAATTGAATTCGCATGAAGCTCAAGTCAGTCACACTTGATCTGAGTTAGTCAAACTTGCCTGGATTGATCGCCATTCTTCCTATCAATTTATTGTTTTTTCATTCCTTTATAAAAAAATCCCATCGCCTTTTTTCACTGAACCCTCCATATTCTAAGGAATATGTGATGAAAAAATAATGTATAATGTTGAAATGTGTGTTGCACCAGCTCAAACTTTTGCCTTTTCAGTAAACTAAAAGCATATTTTGTTCCCCTTCCTATGCTACTTGCAAACTGTAAAATGCCTTGCAACAGAGTGATCTTTAAATGCCTCTTAATATAATAATTTATGAGCAAATATGGTTCATTTTGAAACAACTCTTGTTAGAAAGTTTAAACAAAAGCAAATATCTTGTAGCAATCATGTGATGAGTTGAAACCAACAACACCTTATTTAAAGAATAAAGTGAGAAGCTAAATTTTGACTATGTGAGCCCTGACATTACTAATTCATATGCCTTTAACTCAATCTACTCAATTAGACCAATCTTATTTGCATGCATAGAATCTCTGTTTTTTGTGCTGATTCACTGATATGCCTTTTTTGCCAGTAGATGCCAAGTCCAATGATGAAGAGTTGAAACCTATATACTTGGATGCTCAAGCAACTACCCCACTGGTAGGTTCTAGGCTTATACCCAGTGACACTCCCAATTAAACAGGATTGTAAAGGGCTCAGTTGACTCTTTATTGTTGTTGCTTAAGCATGATAACTTTGCAAATTGTTCCAGAACCATTATTTTTAGTTCTTTAATTTCTAATTTCTCTATTTTTATGGTACATTCTATGCTAGTTTTCCATACTTGAATATATATTTTGGCAAATCCTCAACACCACCCAATACCCAATGCCAAAAACTTTAACTTTAAGCACATCAGCAGCATTTAGTTCTTAACATTTGCTTCTATTTTTGTTTAAGTTATTTTTTCTGCCAAGAAACAGGACATTTTTCGGCTTGTTTAACATTACAGGACCCAAGAGTTCTGGATGCAATGCTTCCATATCATATATCATTTTATGGAAATCCACATTCAAGAACACATGCATATGGTTGGGAAACAGAGAAAGCTGTTGAAGATGCAAGAAAGGTAATCAATGATTTCCCTCTTGTTCTAAACTTTTGAAGGAACAATACTAAGATTAAGCTGAAAGGGCAAGTGGCCTCTGACAATTGCTGGGATATGGGTTTAATGGTCGCCATTTGCTGCCAAATGTCGTATGAAATAGCTTTATGTTTTACATCTTTTCAGACATTTCTTTTCTGTATTCCCACCCATTTTCAGTTACAGGCTAGCCTAGGATACTTCCTTTAACAAGCGAAAATGTGGAGAAAATTCATAATCTGTGCTGTCAAGCTGGCTTGAAAAAAGCTTATCCAAAAGAAACCGTTCCTTAGGCAAATACACTGTTAATGCTTCTGTGTATTTACTGATTGCCTTGGCTCAAACTGCTTAAGTCCCTTCAAAGTTTTCTTTGTTTATACCCACTTTAATTAAACTTTAAGAGCCTTCACAGCAAGCAAAGTATGCAGCCATAAGCAAACTGTTTTGACTGTGTTATGTACTACTCTATTTCTGTGTAGCAGATGTCTGTAAACCAGTTTTAAAGAAAAATTATGCCAAGAAGACGAGATGAAGATTTGACAATAAGTTTTTGGTAGGAACATCAAAAAACGCCTAGAAGCAATCCAATATAATGTAATCTACCAAAATATTAAAATTAAACTACAAGTAAAAATAATATTTTGATCTTTTCGTCTCTTTATTTACCTCTTACAAAATGTTAATTTTATTTGTAGCTTAATTTTGACATTTTTTTCATATTGGACTTATTTATTTGTTATATTGGACTGCTTCTCGTTTTTTGCGGTGTTCCAACCTATCATTAGAGAAAAATGTTGGATGAAAGGTTGAATGGGAGGGTGAAACATTTTCAGCATCACAATGGGATGCCTTCGATCTTGGAGGTCATGCATGTATGTCTTCTAAATGTGATTAAATACACATGTTGTATCAACTGCTGAATGAGAGGGTGTACAGTATTTAATATCACACCGATCATGGGAGCAATTTAACTTTAAGGATCAATTCTTAATTGCGATCAAAATTCTTCCAAAATTATATTCGAAAGTTTTCAAACTTTTAAAGCGACGCTTTATAACTTGTGTAAGATTGGGTGAAGTGATGGATACCTTTGACAGGGTTGTAAGCATGAATATTAGCTTTTAATCTTTCTGCAAAAATTTTTGTAAATACACATTTCGTAACGTACCAGATACTCCCTTGTGAGCCCCTAACCTTTGAGCCAGGCATTTATTGTAAAAGTGATTTAGAGTTGAAAATGTTGGTATCCACCTTTGATGATTTTCCCATTTGTCATTTTCTATTTTCCAGAATTACGACAAAATTGCTCTCTTGTTAGATCTGATTGTGTGACCAAATAGAAAAATAATGAAAGTCCATTTCTTTTAACTTTTTTACAATTTATTCCTGCTTAACTCGCTTAACTCAAGCTGCAATAGATGCAACATCTACTGAAAATAAATTAGAAAGTGTTAACCCTGGATGTACAATGTGCTACCTAAGGTTATCAAAACAATATTACATTTGTTCGTATTGTTGTCGTAGATGTACCGTTTATATGCACCAATGCTAAAATGCAAATATTCATTATAAAGTTTCTGAATTCAAAAGTTTAATTATTTTGCTTATTTATAGAAAGTTGCAGATCTGATAGGTGCTGATCCAAAAGAGGTAATATTTACAAGTGGAGCAACTGAGTCAAACAACATTGCTGTTAAGGTTTGTTCCACGGTCTCTCCGTTTACACCTTACCAAAACTTTTAAGTCTGTGAAACTCATATTTTCTACTTTATCTTTGCCCACGCCCACCCCACAACAGAATTGTAACCATATTACTTGAAAACTTTTGTGCTTGATGGATGAAATATAATAAAAATATGAATAACCAAGTCTTTGAATTTGGTTTCAAATTCTTTTTACTTCTTTATAACACCATTTGTTCTTGCACATTAATGTTGAATTACGCTTGGTCTCTATATTCTAATCTAAAGCAAATCCAAATTGATATCTTCAATCAACAAATATATGTTTCTTGTTAGTGTCGTGAAGGTTTCTTCTCTGCTCTGCCCTTTCCCTGGAGTTTTTGCTCTTCTAAGCCAATATTTTTTGTAGGGAATCGCAAGATTCAACAAACGAAAAAAGAGACACGTTATAACTACACAAACGGCAAGTATTTAATCTTTGTTGCAATTTGTCGCCTGACTATTTTTTAAAACAATTGTTTGTCTGACTGTGTAGCCCCAATTAAAACTACAGAGACGATCTATAGTCATTGACCGTTTCTTAGTGGGATGCATGGATGCAAGCACAACCAAATTATGACACAATATTTTATTAACATAGACTGCGTTTCCACGAGACCGTTTGGAACCGGATCGAAGTGGGTACGTTAAGGCCTTGGGTTCCCACGTGATCGGTTCCGTTTGGAACTGATTCTGGCAACGCACCGCAGTTTCTTTTCTTCTGCCTTCGTCTATTAAATTCAGATCTTGTAGGACCGTTGGGGCACTTTGACGAGCCCCACACCTTCTTCAAACTATCCCGATTCTTGCCAGTCTGATGCCTTCTGCGATGTTTCTTCCTGTCCACTTCTGCACATCACTTAGCCAGTTCAATTTTGGTCTTCCTTGTGCCCTCAACGGTCCCGTGCATCGTGATGTAGGCGAGAGTTCCAGATCGGAGCATCACGTGCCTGAACCATTGCAGCTACCGTCTTCTGCCCGTTTCCAGAAGTGTCCTGCCTTCTGGTTAACCTCTTTCAGAATTGACGCATTGGTGCGGTGCTCCCCGATAGTTAATGCCAAAGATGCGCCAGATGCAGCGCATTTCGAAGGCATTTAGTCTTCCTTCTAGTCGTTTGTTGAAGGTCCAGGATTCACACCCATACCGCACTAGTGATGTAATTAGTAAGCGCCTAAGCTTGATCTTTGAGTTTTACCAGGCCTCTGGTTTCGCGACGTTAAATTTAATTTAATGGAAGGAATTAAATTGGATAACGTGTTTTAAACCCAACTCCTCAAGATCGTTCTTAGTTAATATTGTTGTTGTTTTAGGATTTGAATTTATTTTTTGTCGACTTGCAGGAGCACAAATGTGTTCTGGATTCCTGTCGAGTGCTTGAAGCCGAGGGGTTTGAGGTGACATATCTACCTGTTCAAAAAAATGGAATAATCGACATTGAAGAACTGAAAAGCAGTATTCGTCCAGATACTTCGCTTGTTTCTATAATGACTGTTAATAATGAAATCGGCGTGAAGCAACCTGTTCACGAGATAGGTGCCATTTGCCGTGAAAATAAAGTGCATTTTCATACCGACGCTGCACAGGCGGTTGGGAAGATACCAATCGATGTGAACGAGATGAAGATCGACTTGATGTCAATAAGTGGCCATAAGATCTACGGTCCGAAAGGTGTGTATTTAATGGAAGATTTTTTTAGAAAAAGAATTTTGGTCTTTGAATCGATTATTGTAGCTAATGCGTTGGGATAATGCGTGATTGACGCTTCGGTGTATAGATCAACACTGTTCTAGTTTGCTACTTCGAGTTTAATGCGAGTTTAATGTGACCATTGTGCAACTGTTTAATCTCCGATAGAGATGCTGCTTCACACCGGTTCACTGCAGTAGTGCCTATTTCAGCTAATTTGAGCACCCATGCCGCTCAATGTTATAGTGACAATGCTTGCAATCGTACTTTAAAAGCCGAGAGCTAAAGCCTTGCCATAAATTTTCCTGTATTAATTACCAAGAGAGTCTTGAATTGCTCCCCCTTAACGAAATATAGATTTATTTCTGATAGCAACATAGTATCGTTTCCATGTGTCGTCTTCTGTATTGCTGTGGAAGTTTACCTGCTTGGTGAAAGTGGACTCTTTGTGGCCTGGAAGGCGCATGTATAATTCTCATCGATCTGCAGACAACTTCTCTATTCCTTTAAGGCATCGGTGCTCTGTATGTAAGAAGAAGGCCCAGGGTAAGACTTGAGCCACAGATGAATGGAGGAGGCCAAGAGAGGGGCTTCAGGAGTGGTACGGTTCCGGCACCACTTGTTGTTGGTCTAGGTGCAGCCTGTGAGCTTTCTTTGCAAGAAATGGAGGTAAGTTGCAGCGCGATAGTGCTTTGTATTTTTATAACTATTTTTCGGTAATTTTGTGAGCAATGCATTCCAAGAGTGGCAATAGCTTTTCTATTTAACATTACAAATGCTGTTTGCAAGATTCTTTATACTATTTATAATTTGCTAAGAACTTTGTAGAGCTAGATTCTATATTCTTTGAACTTACATGCTACAGACCAGTAAAACATTTCAATAAGACAATATTGGTCCCCGTAACGATTTCCTTTTATAGGAATAAAGTTGACTACCCAGCGGCCAATAGAAATAAATATCAAACTGCTATGCAAACTGCAAACCGCAAATCACATGCCACGAAAAAATGTGTATGGTCAGCCGAATTATATCATTTCTTTTGGATTAATAATTTGGGATTTAGACCTGTATTGATCCGTGCTTCTGTTATTGTTTAAGACTTGCTACACATTGGAACTGATTTTTTTATCGTTTCTTGGACTATGATAAGGTTGAGCTCAGTTGCATCACTACCGTTCTGAAATTTCAAAATTCTAATAGTCTATCGCTTATTTCAGTACGACTACAATCACGTGAAAGAGTTGTCAGATCGTTTGATTGCTGGAATAGAAAGCCAACTGACCCACGTGATTCGAAATGGTGATCCTGATCTATCATATCCTGGGTGTATTAACCTTTCTTTCGCGTATGTTGAAGGCGAAAGTCTCCTAATGGCTTTGAAAGAAATTGCCTTATCATCAGGAAGGTTTGTTTCTTTAGTCTGTAAGAAATTTACGATGCTTTACGAAGCGGAGTTTTTGACAGGGATAGTTTTATTCTTACATTATTTTATGTTTGTCATTCAATGTTCCATTCAGATAGTTACTATACTAGTGGCTTTACCTTCCTTCAATCAATATAAGCCAATCAGCATGTGATTGGAATAACACTCATTGATTGGCGTATTCTTGAAAGGTAGTTTGAGCCCAGTTAGTATCTGTCGATTGCCTTTAAGTTAACCTTGAGTTAAATCTGCTCAGAGATTTAGTCCAACCATCTCCTGTGATCTGTTGCTCTGGCATTGCTGATTGTATTTTGTGAAGATGATACCTTTATGGGAATCTAGTAACCGTGATAAGTAGAATTACGTCTGCAAAATTCGTGTTTGATTCTCTTTTACTCCTGTTTGCTATTGCTCTTAAGTTCCCCTCTAGGTAGATGGTTATTGAAATTTTATTGCTTAATGGCAATCGCAATTATACTGGAAATGCTAGCCTGTCAAGCCTGATCGTTCGTTAGGTACTCCTTGCTGCATTGCCGTTTAGAAATTCCTTTTTTCCAGAGCATTGATAAAATTCCAATATCTTTAATCTATTTCTTATTTCTCCTTGTTTTGTTGTTGTGAGCTTTAACGTCTACTACTGTTAGGTTTCGTTTATACTGCATTCTCGGTTTAATGTTTCCCCCTCTATTCTCTTTTGCGTGGCATTCCAAGTTATCAACTAGACTCTCGCACTAAAACTATATACTTCACCGTCCCAATGTCTGTTTTTCTACATTTTCAGTGCCTGTACTTCGGCGTCACTGGAACCATCCTACGTGCTACGTGCCATTGGAGCAGAGGAAGATCTAGCACACTCTTCCCTTAGGTTAGTATTGGCCTTACACCTATGCAAAGCTCAGCCAGCCTTCTCTTGTTACCGCTTGTCATTCTCATTTGCTAAGAATATAGCTCTTATATATATGTAAGTATATTTTTGATATAAAAAAGTGAGTTGTTTGTATCATTAGTTAATGCCTCTTGACGTAATAAATGCTACTTAAACACTATTTCGGCTTTTGCCATGAATAAACCATGTCTTAAGAAAACACGCGATAATTTATAGAATTTCTGTTGCAAACTGTATACATAAATTAGTCTGTATCTGAATATTTCAATTGGTTCCATTCATTTCTGCTGCACTTCTCATATTTTATAATAATTTGAGAAGTACTGACTGTTATATCCTACTTATATTGCATTGCATATAGAAAGTGTGGGTGGATAAGAGTCTATTGAAGAATTTTCAAGAAATATGTTATTTTATTCCCATCTGTTTTAGTTGAACCCCAGTATTGTGGCGATTTTGTTACTGTTCTGCCTCGGCCATAAGTAGAAAATGCTGCAGAATGTAACCTCGATTCGACTCTGCTATAAAATACGCAAAGTGTTAGTGAAGTAGATGGACATGTCAATTGTTGCAGCATTGTGCTTGATATTTTTAGGTTTGGCATTGGAAGGTTCACTACACAAGCAGAGGTCGACTTCACTGTCAAGAAATGCGTTGAAAGTACCTTGAAGCTCCGGGAGATGAGGTAAGAAGCTTTTTTGTGATTGTCAACCATTCATTTTTTGTTCAACGATATTTGAACAGAACAGACGCAACACTGAGGGTAGAACTATGAAAAGAATGAGAAGGGGGGTGGTTCTTGGAAACCATGTCTAAAAAGCCATGATGGTAACTAAAGTAAATCACTTTTTGACACTAATGCACTCTCTAAACTTCCCTTTAATTTTGTTAAAATCTTCGTTAAAATCTTCTACTTACAGCAGGATAATGTCTATTTTCAAACTTTGCATGGTTAGAATGAAATTTTTAGAAATAAAGAGCGCCAGATCAGCATATCACTGGCTCAAGTTGGGTCATTCAAAAGGATGCTACCAAACATTCAAGCTTGAAACGTGTCATTGAAAATTCTGCTCATAGCCCAAAAGTTGCTATGATATAGAAACTCTGTGAATTGTTAACTTTGGCATCATCATCATCATTACATTTACATTTAACAACCCTTTTGGGTCATACAAACGTCTGCCCAGTCAACTACAACATTAAAATTTACTGAGGTGATTTCGACATAGGTTGTAAAAGGTATCCGAATTTGCCTGCATCACAATACTGTCTGGCAGGCTATTCCATACAGAAACGATTGAATACAAAAATGAAAACCTAACAGCATCAACCCTTCCAAATTTAGGCAAGATCTTTAATGAGTTAGAGTTCCTTGTCATTGAACAAGTTGCAGGGGAAAATAAAACGTTTGCTGGCACAACTAAACCCGTTATCAGCGTGAAACAATATTTCAAAGAATTGTAAGTAACGACCATGTCCTGAGAAAAAGAACTTCATTTTTAGCGCAACAGCTGATATCCTCTTTTAAAGTGAGATAGAAGCAGTAATTCGATTGTAGGCTCTAAAATATGACTAAATGAGAATTCCAGAAAAGTAAATGACAGTTGCTTTGAGAACTGGCAGCAGAAAAGCCCGCAATACCAAGACTTGTTCAAAAAACACAATCCTTTCTTGTTTTAAAAGACATATATAGCCCTTCAAGGCTGTATTTTCTTGACTCGTCAGTCATTATCAGACACATGTTTTTCAAAATATTTGTTGAAGGATTGCTTATTTTCTCTAAATCCATATTTTTGTGATCAGCTTGTTTCGTCGTCAACCTGTCATAGCTCTGTTTGAAAAGTTTTAATATCAAACCAAGGTGGAGGTTTGCATGCATAATTCATTTACTGTTACCTCTTTGATTATAAGCTGCTGGTTTATTTTTCTTAGTTGAGAAGTTATTTTATCATTTTCATGGTTTCATAATATCTTGTAATTTCGGACTGTATATTTTTGATAAATGAAGTTTTTCATGTGTAGTTGCTAGCAATTTTCGACCATTTCTTTTCATTGGCAAAATACATTTTTTTGTAGCCCTCTATGGGAGATGGTTCAGGATGGAATCGATTTGAAAAATATTCAATGGAGCCAACATTAATTTGCAACTCGTGAGGCAAATCAGAAGTTGTATAGAAAGCATACTTGTATATTTTCATGTCAGACTTTTGAGGGAATGTCCATAAATGTTATTTGTGACCTATTTAAGTAAACATAAATATGGATTACTTGAACTTTGTGACCTCAGGTTTTCCAATCACACATTTACTCCCGTATGTCTAAGAAATAATTACATTTTTAGCTTAGAATTTTCCGATTCACTTCTTTTCAATGTTTTTTAGCATAACAGGTGTTTGCGAGTTTAGGCTTTGCCGGATTGTGAGATTACACCAGAGCAAAAAAAAAACAGAAATGTTTTTGTCACTTTACAGTAGCCATATTGAACAAAATACCTTGATAACTGTAATCATGCATTTAGGATAACATTTAGCGCATGACATCTTAGTTAAATCCTGAATACTAAGAGCGTGCTCATCGAAGAAAAATTTTCAATAGTATTTGAAAGTTGCCTATTTCAATTCAAATGCGATTTTGTAGAATTTTTGTCATTATTTCCCCATCTGAAGTTAACTCTAATTCAATTCAATTTTTATACTATATTATCAAGTAATGCATCAGCATATTGATATACGTCTTGTCTTTTGCCGGTTTGCTAAAGTCTGCTTTTGAATGACCGATGTTATTAGTTTCTAGACCTTGGCACAGAATGCAACAAACACTTCTTGTACTACTACGTACGAACAAGGCCTAGAATCAACTCATCCACTTATAACTATTAAAAATGGTTCCACATTGAAATAAACCGAAAGATTTGTTGAAGAGAATCAACGAGTAAAAAATTCGAGAGGCCTTTGCTCCTCCATAATTTCCTAAAATATGATAATGCCAATAACCAGGCTAAGAGCCCCCAATGAAAACATCCTTGCTATGCTCTGGAAGTAGTGATCGCCACTTCTATAAGTAGGCAGCTAATCATAACAGAAATCTTCCACTTCCCATGCAGATTAAATTTAATGTGAGTTTTTTAAAGGTTATGACTTATAGGTATTTTTAAGATTGCTTGTTCGATTAGGGTCATCTCCTCTAATGAAAAATAACTTCCTAATGTTAGCGGTGATAAACAGTGTTGCCGCCAAATTGTCATAATGTTGAGCGGTCAGCTGCAATGAATATGCACCTCTGGCTATGACCAATGTAGTATGCAAGCTCAAGAATCCTATCAAGACAGTAATTTTTCGGTCGTTAGTTCTATACTTAAAAACTTGTTTCTTTTCTCAATCTCCCAGATCTTTAACAATTTTTTTAAAATTGCTCGCGTAGGTATAGTGGAGACAACGTTAAAGAAACTTAAGATGGATCTTGCCAAATTTTGTTACTCTATTGAAATAAAATTGCCCGAAGGAGCCTGAAATTCGATACACTTTGCCTGATTGCTGCAGCCTGGGTAAAAATTATACAAATTTGCAAATATGCAAAAATATTTTGACCTTAAGGGCGTGATCATGAATCGTGTCATAAAATTTGAATTTTTGATGAGGTATAAGTGAAGATTTAGCCTTCCAGGTGGGTTATAAAGTCATAACGTCATGCAACTCTCAGTTGGGTTATGAAGTCATAAGTTTCAAGTTCATGCTTCTAAATTTCATTATCAGTATTGTCACTATAAACAGTATCATAACTTGATACAGATGATGTATGACAATTTGAGCCAGTTTCAGTAATGCCTTCGCTCTTAATCTCATTTTTTTTCTCAGAAAAAGGCTATTTATGCATCTATAATGAGGTTCAGCTTTAAGTTTTATTCTTCTTGTATTTTCTTTCTGAAAGAGTCAAGGTGTTTATCCTCTTTTTCACTGATTCTTCCAAGAAATTGTTTTTGCTAGTTTTTTCTCTACGTCAGTGAGTTCCAAATCTTGTTGTAAATGGCGTGAGTATACCCTTATAGCAACAAGACCGAGATGACAAATGACTACAATGAAGTAAGACAAGATCGAAACATTTTTGTAGATATGGAACCCAAAGCAGGATAGAAGTTTTTGAACTTGAGACCACATGAATATAGGTCTTTTGTAAAGTCTCATAAACATAAGCTAAGGGTAACCTCATTATGATTTACTTGCAGTGGTTGTTTCTAAGGGGGTCCAGGTTGGCCATGGCCTCTGATCACGCTATTATGGTAGCCAAAAGGGGCCCCACACCTTAGAAAAGGAATAGAAAGTGTAAAGAACAAGGGCCCCGCAGATGTTTGGGCCTCGGACCCCGCAGTCCCTAAAACCGCTGCTGCTTACTTGTCGTGAGATCTTTCATGACTAGGCATCAGGAATTTTTCAAAATGCGTAAACATGGTATTGAAGAAATGCCAGAGGTAGTGAATGGTTGCAAAAAAAATTTCAGGGAACTTTTGAAAAAGTTTAATCTCAAATACCTATGTTGTTAACTTGGAAAAGTCTTTTTCTAAGAGTGTTTTGCTTGCCTCACTTCCAAAAAGGTGAAAATGAGAAAGAGTCCACTCAAAAACATCTAAAATGGCCGATAATTCGGGCAACAAAAATGGTTCTGAAATAAACATTTTATCGCTGGCAAATGAAGTGATTGAGAAGATTTTCAATCTAAAACTTTTGGACCATAAAGATATCTGCAGTCTTTCGAGGACTTGCCACAGACTTGGTGATGTTGCAAATAGCAAAGAGGTGTGGCGGATGAAGGCAAAACAAAGGTAAATAAGATGCATTTCTCATTGCATCATTTGGTTACCACTACCATTTCCAAATTATGGCTTTTCACTTATTATGGTCACATGCACCTGAAAAATGAAACAATAGTAACAAAATAATCACAAACAAGTTTTACATGGAACAAGGATATATATATATTAATATATATATTTAAAATTACTATCAAAGGCCCTGAGAACTGACACGCAAAAATAAATTTGGCTTATTTATTATTCTATGAAGAATGTGTTGCTTGCTTCAAATCTGGTAAAATTGTTCTTCTCAGATTCATCTTTTCCATGTTTTTTGCACTTTTATTCGTCAATTACGTCACAGTAGACTCCCAAATTTCCCAAAGCGGAAACAACATTGTCGCCAAAAGTTTATAAAAATCTCGATAGACATCACAAGATCAAGTCAAGTGAAATTTCGTGTTTTACTGAAAATATTCTGAGATAAGAAGACAAACAAATGTCAGTCATGCCATTGAGCCATTGGACGACAGTCCGCCCAAGCAGCGGCAGTGGTTGGTAGCATTGGTGGCGCCAGGGGAGGGCTAGGGGGGCTATAGCCCCTCCGATGGAAGCATCTTGCCCCCCCCCACCATTGGATAAAATTTTAGGTTATTGTCAGGGCAAATTTGACAAAATAATGTACAAAAACTGCATATTTTAGTCATTTTAGCCCCCCCCCCTGTTGGAAGCTCAAAACCCTCTGTCAGAAGATTCTGGCGCCACCTCTAATTGGTGGCACAAATTTAGACAGCTGAAATTTCCCAGCTGTGTTGGAATCAGTGTAATAAAACTATGATTAGAGGGTCATTCCATGTCAAATCATCAGACCCATGTAACCCATGGTCTTAGAATTTCTTGATTTTTTCACCACAAAGAGCCACTTTGAAGAAAACACCACATACAAAATTTCATCCTTATATCTCTTACGGTTGCGATTTTGTAGCCGTTTCAAAAGTGACCCATTTTAGCCAAATATGCCACACCCAGTTTACCAAGTGATGGGCGCGGCTTTCTATCAATAGCTGTAACTTTTCTAAAGTTGTCAATATTTACTTGAAAATAATGTCAATTATTGATTTGATACTGTAGATTTCAAATATTGCATCAGAATTTGTCAATTCTCTAAGGTGAAGCAGATAGTCATATGTTAAAGGTTATCACTTGTTTTGAAAATATTCCCAACCGATGTATATAAATATTGAAAAAAAGTCCTGTAGCTGGAATCATAGCATTAGAAGCTTGCTATATTCTGAAAGTGTATTCTTTGGGCTATCAGAAAATGTTTAAGATTACAATTGCAATTGAAGTATTTTGAGTTAATTGCACCTTACAAAATGGGTATAATTTTGCAAGAATCGTGAGCAAAAAAAATTTGTATTTAAGGTAATATTGCATGAAATAAAAAATAGCTGCTAAAAACATTGAATCAATCATGATTTCACATTCAGAGACAACAAAGAATAATTAAAAATGATTCCTAGCCATGGACAAGCTGAGATACTGCTTTATTGTCACTGTAGCTGAAGCTCTAAGTTTGACCTGTAATTGTTTTGGATGAATCAGTTTTGCAAAGCATGTAAATGTGATACCCATCATATGTATGATCTGCTTGATCATGTAAAGTTCTGAGTGGGTTCAGGTGGGTGCATGAAGTTCATTTGAAAGTCCCCTTCATCTTCATTAATGTCATAGAAACCCACCCATCATTGTCATATAGGCAAGCAACATACTCTATCGTTCGAGTCCAAATGCCATTCTCTCCCTTCTTAGAAAGAAAAGCAAAGTTTGCTGCAAAGTCTCTGTCATCAGAAAATTACTTGAAAGCAATCTTTTCATCTTAAAGTAGATAAAACTGGGGTGTAGCATGCAATTTTGCTTGTTCCAATGGGCTGACTGAATTTCATCTTAAGTGAAAAATTAATAGTTTTCGGCAAAGTCAGCCAAAAAACAAGAATCATCTTCATTTCTTCCTTTCACTTAAGGTATTTTGACTGCAATTGTGTAAGAAAAGAATGAGAGGTCAAAGCAACAATACACTTTACAAGCAGCTCAACAAAATAAGCAATACTCAAGAACCGTGTTACTATTTTTGATCTTCTAGTGTTATCACCTTGCTGAAATAAACATCACTATCATATAGATCAAAAATAGTAACACGGTTACTATTTTTGATCTTCTAGTGTTATCACCTTGCTGAAATAAACATCACTATCATATAGATCAAAAATAGCATATAGATCAAGAACCGTGTTACTATTTTTGATCTTCTAGTGTTATCACCATGCTGAAATAAACATCACTATCATATAGATCAAAAATAGCATATAGATCAAGAACCGTGTTACTATTTTTGATCTTCTAGTGTTATCACCATGCTGAAATAAACATCACTATCATATAGATCAAAAATAGTAACATGGTTACTATTTTTGATCTTCTAGTGTTATCACCTTGCTGAAATAAACATCACTATCATATAGATCAAAAATAGTAACACGGTTCTTGAGTATTGCTTATTTTGTTGAGCTGCTTGTAAAGTGTATTGTTGCTTTGACCTCTCATTCTTTTCTTACACAATTGCAGTCAAAATACCTTAAGTGAAAGGAAGAAATGAAGATGATTCTTGTTTTTTGGCTGACTTTGCCGAAAACTATTAATTTTTCACTTAAGATGAAATTCAGTCAGCCCATTGGAACAAGCAAAATTGCATGCTACACCCCAGTTTTATCTACTTTAAGATGAAAAGATTGCTTTCAAGTAATTTTCTGATGACAAAGACTTTGCAGCAAACTTTGCTTTTCTTTCTAAGAAGGGAGAGAATGGCATTTGGACTCGAACGATAAAGTATGTTGCTTGCCTATATTTCAATGATGGGTGGGTTTCTATGACATTAATGAAGATGAAGGGGACTTTCAAATGAACTTCATGCACCCACCTGAACCCACTCAGAACTTTACATGATCAAGCAGATCATACATATGCTGGGTATCACATTTACATGCTTTGCAAAACTGATTCATCCAAAACAATTACAGGTCAAACTTAGAGCTTCAGCTACAGTGACAATAAAGCAGTATCTCAGCTTGTCCATGGCTAGGAATCATTTTTAATTATTCTTTGTTGTCTCTGAATGTGAAATCATGATTGATTCAATGTTTTTAGCAGCTATTTTTTATTTCATGCAATATTACCTTAAATACAAATTTTTTTTGCTCACGATTCTTGCAAAATTATACCCATTTTGTAAGGTGCAATTAACTCAAAATACTTCAATTGCAATTGTAATCTTAAACATTTTCTGATAGCCCAAAGAATACACTTTCAGAATATAGCAAGCTTCTAATGCTATGATTCCAGCTACAGGACTTTTTTTCAATATTTATATACATCGGTTGGGAATATTTTCAAAACAAGTGATAACCTTTAACATATGACAATCTGCTTCACCTTAGAGAATTGACAAATTCTGATGCAATATTTGAAATCTACAGTATCAAATCAATAATTGACATTATTTTCAAGTAAATATTGACAACTATAGAAAAGTTACAGCTATTGATAGAAAGCCGCGCCCATCACTTGGTAAACTGGGTGTGGCATATTTGGCTAAAATGGGTCACTTTTGAAACGGCTACAAAATCGCAACCGTAAGAGATATAAGGATGAAATTTTGTATGTGGTGTTTTCTCCAAAATGGCTCTTTGTGGTAAAAAAATCAAGAAATTCTAAGACCATGGGTTACAAATCTTAAAAATATCTGATGATTTGATATGGAATGACC